GCAAGGAGAAAGTCTAATGAGATCACCAGGCGAAGATTCACAATCAGGAGAAACCCAATGGACAATAGAACAAGTACCACGGCTTGCTTGGACCAAAAGTTGTTTGCCAAAGATGGGAGAACCAAGATCATCCAACGTGACAATCCAATTTTTTGTAGTGGGAGGAGAGGATAAACAAGGTGCTAATTCATAAAATGAAGAATCATTCGTATGCATAGTAACGAAATGATCCAGTAAACGATTATTGGAGTCAGGAATAGTGGTAGCTTGTTGAAGATCTTTGTACCAATAAGGGATACGACCAGGGCCACGTCGTCCAACCAAATTGTCATAGTAAGCCTTTCAGGAAATTAAATGAGTTCCTTGGGGAGTAACAAGCTGAGATAGATAAAACAGTTGTCATTTTCGCAGAATGGGAAAATAAGCTTTAAAGGCTTTAGGCGTCATGCATTCAAATAAAGGAACGCATCCATCTAACAGAGATAGGTTCGGAAGCTTCGAAAGTTGAGTATGAAGCAAACGAAAAGGAGTAGAAGATAAGATAGCAATAGTGCATGCGATATAATCTTTCTTAAATGAAAATAAAGAAGACCATATAGACCAGTCCTTAATTAAAAGAGGAGAAATAGGAATCAAAAAATTATATTGAATTAAACACAATCTATAAATAAAAAGAGATTGAATAAAAAAAGAAGAAGAATTAGCCATTAAAAATAAATTAGTAATATGACATTGTCGTTGATGAGCAAACAAATTAATCAAGCCCAAGGCTTGAGACAAAAAGAGAATAGGATTGGGTAAAGAACGAGAAAAATTCGCTTTGTGCTTTACAACAGATCGTATACTTCTCGTTATTAGGTGGCAGTCAGACTCAGACAAGTGAGTAACTTGCATCCGGTATTCAAGCTTTGGTATAAGAACAGCATTATGTAAATACACGACTTGTTTAGGGGAGAGCTTTGCGGGTCGGATGGTCACAGCAAATGAGCAGCATTTGCGTTTGAGTTGTTTTTTGACAAAATCACGGGAGCTCTTGATGTTAAACCAGACGCCTAAAAAACGAAAAGAAGTTGTCATAGAAATTGGGGTAATAGTAATGAAAGGGACACTATTTAAAGAGGATAAATCCAAATTAAAAGTAATAGGGAATAAAGTGGAATTCGAAGTCAAAAGCAACGAATTGGTAATTAACACATATTTGTTATGATTGGCAGAAGTGTTATTGATCTGATAAAATTCTTCAGTAATGGATAACATAAATTCCATGCCAGCCTTTGACGAGGAAATAAGAGTAGAGTTATCCATAAATACTAAATTATTAATCTTCAAATCAGAAGAAGGATTTGGAGAATCAATTAAAGACGATGTAAAAAGAACATAAGGGTCCATCATTTCATTCTTCAAAACAGTAAGTAAGGGGTCAATATATATAACCCATAAAAGAGGAGAGATAACTTCGCCTTAGTCAATACCAATGTGAACCCTATAAGCAGAAGTAGATCCATGAGCAGTGAAAACGCGATTAGTGCGTTTCGTGAAAAGTAAAAGGATAAACTTAACAGCGGAAGCTAGAAGACGTATACGTTCTAGAGCAAAATGTAGCATTGTCAGATCGACTGAGTCAAAAGCTTTAGAGATATCTTGGGAGAGAATCCAAAGTGGGTTTTTATTGATATCAGCATCATGGATAATAGATTCTAAAGTAATAATAGGGTCACGGCAAGAACCACCAGGAAGACCAGCGAAGTTACCACCTTTAAGAACATCATGTGAAGCCATAATAATAAAAAGGCGATTATAAAAAAGTTTGACAAGAGATTTTCTAATCATGTCAAGTAGAGTAATAGGACGAGTATTTTTTAATTGACATTTCCATTCGTGAGGCTTGGGAATGGGGAAAACCATTGCTTGTCGCCATAAATCGGGAATATCAGCTTTGGAAAGGCATGCTTGAATTAAAATAAGGAGCAAAGCCAAAGTACGAGTACCAAGGTGTTTGAGCATTTCGTATGTAATCATGGAAGGACCAGAGGCTTTACCGTTAGGAGTGGAAGAAACAGTGGAGAACCATTCATCAAGGGTAGGGGGAATCATTAAAGAATCATAAATGGAGGAGAACACATTATCCATAGGTTGATAGGCAGAAGACCATCGATCAGGTAATGTATCGATAGACACCGGAGGAGTGGACTTTATAGGTACAAAGTTTTGAAAATGGTTAACAACAGCATCATCTATGTCCTTAGGATCAGTTAGCAACTGGGGGTGAGTAGGATAGTTGATAAAAACACGGTCCAAAGTGATACGGCGACGAGTGCGAGAAAGTGCTGAATCAATAAAAGAGGAAAGGTCAGTCTCAAAGTTATTATTTCTATCGTCCAAATGAGCACGGATGGAGGAGTCTTGAAATTCCTTTTCTTGTAATAAATGAAGTCCCCGTAAGGATTTTGAGATATCAGATAAATTATCAAGAAGTGACTTGAAATTATCTTGTCGACATGATGAAAGAGAAAAGGGCAAAGTGGGAATGGAAGTAAATACTTTCTTATACAATTGAAGAATGTTTTGAAGTCTGTGCAAATGAGTAGACCACTTATGTTCATGAGCAACAGAATAAGATAAAGGATTATTGCGCAATACACTGGTCAGAATAGTCCATTTCGGCAAAATTTTAAATTGCCGAATGTTGGACGAAATTTGGTCTGACCTTAGCCGATCAGTACCAAAAAAATCGGCAACTAATTTTATAGGCGATTTGCACCGTAACGCCTGCCACTCGCAATTAGAAATTGGCAAAGTTTCGGAATTAGTTAAAAAAATCGGCTGTACATATCAATAAAATTCGAACCTGCCATGCAAATGAAATTCGTCATAAACAATCGACTATTCGTTTAAAAATCGATATTGATTTAATTTGCCGATTTGCAAAAATAAATAAAATCGACCATAATAATTTTGACGAAATTTAGCAAATTTAAGTTTTAAAACAGCGATTTTATTTCGATTGATTTACCAATTATTTTAATTAAATCGC